ATATTGCCATGCCCAGCTAGTTTACCTACCGAAGTAGTGAGTGTGAACTCTCTGAAATGGTAAGCTCTACTACATAAAGGGCTTAAAAAGAGCTTTGCTGTATTCCTTAAGCATTGAATCCTGGAGCGCTTCTATTTGTGGAGTTAGTTGTAGTTTTGTGTTTATAACCTGTCCTTAAAATATAAGCCACTATTCATTCATACTTCATAACTAGACTAACCCATGGGCAGAGCAAGAATCACTGTGTGTGTTGTTAGTATTTTTAAGGGATAATTATACAATAAATAAAATAGAATAGAGTAAGATAAAATAAAACCAATGCACTGGAGTTGGACTAGACAAACAAACAGCCCAAGAGAAGCACAAGAGTCAGATTTCTAATGCTTCTTGTACTGAGATTAATGGACTCATTCAGTCTCTCCATGAATGTTACAGCCTGGAAAGTTGGAAGAACTGCGTTTAGAGAAATTGTTTTGAAGACTTGAGTGGAATGTTAGCTTTTTAGTGTAGTGAACGTGTGGTACATATATTTTAGGTAGAGAAAAAGAATTACAGTCTTAGAATTAGAAACACACCGTTCTGTATGGATAAATCCTACCTGCACAACTGCATTTTTATTTAAGTAAATTACTTCTGAATTAAATTCTTTCATTAGCATAAGGAAGGAAGTAATTTATTTTAAAATCAGAGGAAACAGCAAAGCTATTTTCATATTTGGAAAATGGGGAGAGAGGAAGACATTCATGCAGAAGCTTCCAATAGCCTTTTAGGTGGATGTGAGACTTGTTAGGAACTTCTGGAAACACTAGGAAACCAACCTTTTCTTATGCAGATTGTCTCACTTTTCATCTTCATTTTGTAAAGAAGAGAGCAAAAGGCACCACACTCTCTTAAGATCTAAGTCGCTAAAACAAGTACTCACAAACCTGGCCTTAAAGGCTTTTATCAACTTACAGTCTTTCATGTGAGAGAAAACTTCTGAAGCACAAAGACAAGTACTTCACAGAAATACGCTCACTGGTGAGTTAGGGCCTATTTACATGTAGGTAACATGTTCAAGGTTACAGCTGAGCAACTGGGCTGGGTTTGTGCCCTAACCTTCCTGGTCCCCAGGTGTGAGCTCCAAAACTGCCACAACTGAGTAGCCGCTAATGAACTATACCACCTTCACTAATACAGCTACTTAGTTGTGTGCAGCGCCTCCGCTATGAGCTACTTGAGAGACTTCAATTTTAAATTGACATATGTCTTTAAAAGAAGAATCAGTTATTGATTTATGGTTTATTTTATATAAGCAGCATCATTGAATTTTACGTGAGGAAGTACAAAATATACCATTTTTACTTTAATAGTTTTAGGAAAAGTTTTTTAGTGAATTGAAAATAACTGTTTCTGTATTATAGATGGTTGACTTTTTAGGTTATGAAGGTATAGCTTGATTTTTTTTTTAAATGTAAAAAGGCACAGAAGACTCCAAGATAGTGTTTAGGTAAAATGTTTCCAACGTTACACATTTAATTCTAGAGAGTCAGCATACTGCTTGTGGGTCTGGGGAAATGGAACTCATGTTGGCTTCTGAATATGCCTTTGTATGTTACAGCCCAAGATGTCAGCTGTCTCCAGGTCGGTGTTTGTCTTAGCTGTATACTTTGAAGGACTGTCATAATTCTGTGAGATTCTTCAAACATTAGTTCATTGACAACGTTCTCACTTATAATTCCCCCAAATAATAAGTTCCGGTTACTCCTGTTGGCTTTATGTTCAAGTTTATAAAGTGATCAGATTGCTATGATTTTAAGGTTAGTTTATACTGGAGAGAAATTTACTTTTTAAATAGAGTGCTCAGTACATCTTTATAGACGATGTTTTACAAAGTTCAATGTTGTTTTCTTTATGTTCTTTAATGTTACAGGCCATTGGGGTAATTTTTTGTAGTTCACTTGGAGACTTCCATTAAACAGAAAATGCCTGAATAAGTCTGATGTGCATTCTGTTGAGTGTCTGCCCTTGAACTTGAAACAGGAATGAAAAGGTGGGAGAGGGACAGCGGAGCTTTTGTTCTCATGGAAAATATTATCACCATTCTGGTTTGTTTTGATTTAAGCACATATACATCTTAGGCAGTATATGTTTGATATTGGAGTAATCAATACTGAGGTTTCTCTGTTTGTTTGGATTGTTTAGCTTTCTGATCCATGCTTAGTACCCGACCGTTTATTGGGCACTGTTCAGTAAGTCTGGCATAATAAGTTTACTACATTTTATATTGATTTAATATTATTGTTAATCTAAAATTTTGGGTGTAATGTGTCCCATCTGTTTTGTATTCTTCTATTTAAAAGAAGTGGGAGCATGGAATTTAGAGGGATATTTATTATCTGAGTGTTTTACTTTGCAACACTTTTCCCTCAGCTTGTCGAGAATTATAACCTCCAAGAGACAGTGAATCACTTGGCAAATTCTCAGGTACTCAGCTACTAAAGGCCACAGTTAGTTAAAATTTTAACTTAACATTTAAGTTCCCTTCACTTAAATTGTTGTAACTTTGCAAATTTCTGGAAATGATATGAAATACATTTCTGGAAAAATTTTTTAAATATTCTTTTCACAATATAATGGGTCCTTGGCTGCCTGCATTTTGTCGATAGTTAATTTTTTTTGGAAAGGACTTTATTAGCCTGAGTGTTGGTTTGTGTTGAAATGGTTCTTTCCATAGCTGAGTATTGAATAGTCTTCTCCTGTGGTAGTTTCATAACCTTTTTGAAGATTATGGATTTTCTTAAATAACCAGTGAAAACTACAACCTATTTTCCTAAAGCAAAGTGTGCCTAAATTCAAGCATTTCATATGTAGTTTTAAATAAATCTACTTCTTTCTCACTGCCTAGGCATTCAAAAGCCAGTTACAAAACTGCTGCGTATTAAAACTGAACTCCCTACTAGTGTGACATTAGTTTCATCTTGCTGTGCCACACCAAGATTCTGCAATTCATGGATTTTACATTTCTTATTTTATTTATTATTATTGTGAGGGTGTGCAGGCACGCGTGCCTCGGCTCACTAGTGAAGTTTTTCAGAAGCCAGTTCTCCTTCCAGTTCTCTTGTGTGAGTTCCGGGAATTGAACTCAGGTTGGTAGTCAAGCTTGGTGACACACTTTTGTCTGCTGACGAAAGTTTCACCAGCCTATGTTTTCTTTACTTTGTTTTATTTTATGTTGCATTTTATCTTTGATTATTATGTAGTAGAAGATGAGGATAATCTGGGTCTTATGTTGGAGGGAAAAGTACAATTTAAACTCGGTCTCAAGTTAAGGAGTTTCATTTGATGTTGGACATGCTTTAGGTTCTAAAGAAACAACCTCATTTTCTCTCTGGGTCCTACATGAAGCCGGGGAGAGGGTTTGTAGGGACCTGTTGCTAGCTAGGCAAGTAGCTCATAGGGGAGGCGCTGCACACAACTAAGTAGCTGTATTAGTGAAGGTGGTGTAGTTCACTAGCGGCTACTCAGTTGTGGCAGTTTTGGAGCTCACACTTGGGGACCGGGAAGGTTAGGGCACAAACCCAGCCCAGTTGTTCAGCTGTAACCTTGAACATGTTACCTACATGTAAATAGGCCCTAACTTGCCAGTGAGCGTATTTCTGTGAAGTACTTGTCTTTGTGCTTCAGAAGTTTGCCCTGCCACCTCCCATGCTACTCTGACAGTGGTGTTACTTGGGAACAAAGAGCAGCCATGCTTTTCAGTGCCAGTTGCTCCTATTTCCTGTCTGCAGGCTTTAGAGCGGTGCTTCTCAACCTTCCTAATGCTGTGACTCTTTAATACAGTTGGTCCCTCATCTTGTGGTGACTCCAACCATAAAATTATTTTCATTGCTACTTCATAACTGTAATTTTGCTACTGTTATGAGTCATAGTATAAATATCTGATGTGAGGATATTTGATACGTGACCCCTGAGAAAGTTTCATTTGACCCCCAAAGGGGTCTCAACCCATAGGTTGAGAACCACTGCTAGGAATAATCTCAAGCATTATTGACTTTTACTTGCCACATTTCAATTGAGAGTTTTCCATTTGATTACTCAGTTTTTTATTATTAGAAAAGAGAAATATCTTAAAAGTTATCAGTTTGTCTTAGATGGTTGCAGTGGAGTTTGAGGAACCCAGAATGAGAGAAGTGCTAAAAGAGGACTAATGACATGATTCTCTTTGAATCTTCATACCTGGATGGAGGTCCTGCGGTTGCTTAAAAGTAGTGTTTCTTTGCTTTATGTCATAATTTCAAATGCTTGATGAAGCACACGCGTGTCAGCCAGTGTACAAAGGATGTCTGTAGGAGTGTCCTCACTGTGGTCTGTAAGGAACTGGGAAACAAGGGGGTGATTTGTGTGGTGCTTTGATTCAGTAAATGATGAGCCGACTACTTTAGTACCTGTCTGAAGGGAGAGCTTCTAGTACTGACCTCCTAAGAAGATGTGGAGGTAAGCCTCCATGACCTTTCCTCTCCGTATATATTGTTGCATACATAGAATACACTCGACCAGGTAATAGCAGAGCAGCATTTGTGGCAGTGGTTCTTCCTGCATGTCCACCCACGCACTTCACTACCACACCTGTGACTGTATTCCCAAGATGCTTAGGGTGGTCGGTTCAGATGGAAATCATGAATGTCAGTCAAGAAAGCCCACTTAACACAAGAGAAGTTAACTCTGTTGCGGCACTTTTGAAGTTGGCATCCGGGAAGAGTATTCATTGTGTTCGTTTATAAACCCCCTCTCACTGGTAAATGCATGCAGCGTGGATTTAAGCCTGTGTATTTGCAGTACAGGAAAGCTTGTAAACATGACTCGCTATTGCTCTATGTGGGAATGGTCCATACTCTAGGTCTCGTTGAGCTCTGAAGCGAGCACTTTACTTTGCTATTCTTGTAATGTCTACTTTCATTTATTCTCTTTGACCAGGTGGAGAGTATAGAGAATAACATTGCCACTTTCTGTCTTCTCAGTATCGTCAGTGAAGCAGGGGCCTCTATCTACAGCGTTAGCCCCGAAGCTAACAAAGAGATGCCGGGGCTGGACCCGAACTTGAGAAGTGCAGGTGAGAAGCTGGATGCATCACCCAGCATGGGATTGCAATATTTTAGATTTGTGTATCTGATAGACTAAATATCTTACATATCCATGAAAGTGAAAAAGCTGTGCCGCATGTATAAGACTTGTACATTTGTAACTTATAGATCAAACTAACACTGGGAACTATGAAAACCATGAGGAAGAGGCCTCTTTTGTTTTTAAACACCTGGCAGTACTCTAGAAATGGTGAAAATTTAACATAAAACGTCTTATTAAAATTACATGCCAGAGTTTAATAATAAAGAGAATAGAATAATTATGAAATAATATTATAGTATTTTCTTGGCAGTAAGTAACATAAACATAAAACATGTGGTTCCAGTGTGTAAACATACGTACACTTTTGGTTTGTTGCTAAATGCTTGGCAACTGAAAATATTTTCTCTTGGCTTCTGATTGAGGCTGTCATGGTAATGCATTGCTTTAAAAAGCATGCCTTTCTATTATTTGTTCTTGGTTGCTTTGATGTCTAGGTTGTAGAATAGTTCAGATTTTGTCATAGAAAATGAAAATACTTTGAGGCATCTACAGGAAATAATTGGTACAAAAAAAATTTTAGATCTGGATTGATAAGTTTTCTAAGTAATGGAGACTACTTATGCTACTTTCTTAGAAATTCATGTTTTAATTTTTGTCCTTAAATATTTTCACTAACTTTTAGGTTCTTTTGCTCTATACCTGGAAATATAATTTTTGAAAACTTTTGCATTGATCTAAAGCTTAAAAACTTCTTTTAAGCCAAAAGACCCTGTTGCTTTTTTCAGTTGATTGTTGAAATGAGACAATTCCCTGGCTAAACTGTCTTGTAAAGGGCAAATCTTGCTTCTTTTGTGATGGTCTCCCCATCACACCAGCTCAGCCTCCTTCCTGTGTTCTCCCTTTTTTGCTTGCCTTGAAACAGCGTGAGTGATGGTCCTGGAAGAGGCAGCAGGGTGGGACGTGCTCATCCTAGTCTTTCCTACGCAGTGTGCAGCAACGTTGCATTTGACATTACCTCATCTTCACAGTTGCCCCACAAACATGGTCATTCTTCCCACTTTACAAATGAAAAAAACTAAGGCTTAAAGAAGCCACACACTTTGTAATATTTGTATGTAGAATGTGTGAATAAATAATAGTTTTCTTTATTAAAAAAAAAAAAAAAAGGTAAAATAACTGCCCAAGTTGTCTTTATCTTCCAATGGAGTGTTGGGAAGAATATTTTTGCCACAATTTCTGGGAGGCAACAATCCTCCCCACTGCTGTTTCTCTTTAACTCCTGGCCTGTGCAGGTGCACAGGGTCAGGAAATTATAGGTGAAACCAGATTCCAGTGGCTAACAGTGCCCTCTGAGGATTAAAAAGAGACAAGCCACTGCCTGGTTCTATTGCTCTGATTTCACAGTGTTACTCACTGTGTCTTCAGTCTGTAACTCACTACAAGTATGCCTTCCTTCCAGCTCAGCTCACATCAGTGTGAAAGTGATGATGTTTCATTTATTCTGACTCGAAACATCCTATCAAGACACTTAAGTCTTCAAAGTTTGTCCTTATGGAATACAACTGATTTGAATGAGCCTCTTTTTAAAATTAATGACCCAGTGTCAAGTATTTTGTTATAGGAACTGTAAACAGACTGATATAAATCCTGTATTAATTTGCTGTTTTATAATATTACAGAATCTTAACATTTTAGAAGCATTAAAACCTAGCTGAATACCTTCATAATGTCATGTTCTTATCAGCTTATTGAATACAGTTGTTCTTGTATCAAATGCTTGTGTTCCTATACCTAGTTGATTTCTGAGTTAACGTAGGAGAGTGAATATTGCCTTCCTTCTATCCCTACTTTCTGAAATTATTTTTAAAAATGATAGAAACAAGGACAAAAAGAATGAGAAGAGAGAATGCTGCCGCATGTTTTGAAATTTGAAGCCAGATAGATGAACAGTAAGTGAACCAGCCAGCCCCAACCAAGTTGAATCTTAAGATAGCATAATAGAAAACACACATTCCGAAGATGGTGGAGCCGCTACTGACTCATGGAGTGCTGTGAAATACCTTTGGAGAGGGCTTCAGAATTGGTCAAGGAAGAGGGTTGGTTGAAAGAGACCTTTTAAACATAGCAGTCCTACATGACTTGGCAGTTGTGCTCCTCGCTGTTTACTCAAGGATAGAACAGAAAAACCCAAGCAAGTACTTGAACACCAATGTTCAGCAGTACTTGCCACAAAACATTCCAGGTGTCCAACAGCAGATGGCTAAATAAAGAAAATACATTGTTTCCACACACTCGGATATTATTCAGCCATAAAAAGGCCAGGGTACCAAAACCTGCCACACCATGAATGAAACTTGAAAACATTCAGATAAGTCCAAGGAGCCACTTACAAAAGACAGCACATAGTATAGTGACACTGGTAGGAAGCGTGTGGAATAGGCAGATGTGTAGAGAGCCAGCCAGGTGTGCATGTAAGAGACTAGGGAGAGATGGCACTAGGGAGTGACTGCTTAATGGGTTCAGGGTTTCCTCTTGGTGTAATGAATTAAACATGCTAGAACCTGGTAAGTGTTGGTCGTTGCACATTGTGAGTACAGTAAGTTGCACTGACTTTTTATTTTATTTAAAATGCCTCCTTCTTGGTTTAGTAGGAGACATTGGCTTTCATACAGTGTAACTGCTTTTTTTTCTGTCTTTGTGTGAGATTGGAGGTTTGTTCACTGAGCAGATTTTATGGAAAGTCCCTACAGTAATGGGCATATCCAAATATTAGAGTGGGAATTGCTGTTGCAGGGAGGGAGATGTGTAAATGTTGGTGTGCTGCCCAGAACTTTAGGAGAGAGCTGAGCTTTCATGCAGATTCATGGCCTTGACTTGTTCCTCACGATCTATCAGGGCTGCCCAAAGATGGTCCCAACACCCTCTCTTCTTTGAATAAAATACTATAGTCAGCTTTTTAGAACCGTACTACTAGGGGAAAATCAGAGGTCACCTCCTGTAAGAAAACCCTGCATTATTAAAGACCTTGTCAGAAGACAGTGGAAGAAAGAAGTTGCTGGGAGGAAACAGAAATTATTCAGATGAAAAATAGGAAGAAGTCCAATTTCTCAGAAAAACAAAACAAAACAAAACATTTTCATCATTTAAAGAGTATGTCCACACATACACACAGGTATGTTATTTTTTTAGACAGGGTCTCTGCCCTTGGTACTGATGACTCTCCTGCTGCAGCCACCCTAGTAGCACAGCAGCCAGCTTATAGATACATTTATGTAAAACAAAGTCTACCCTTTTAAGAAACATCATCTATGAATTTTAACAAACTCATCATCATAGTGAAGCTAGAAACAGTTTATCATATTTCTGTAATTGTCAGCTTCTTGTTCACAATTGTAGAAGGTCAAGGTTACAATCTGTTTGCACTGAGTATTCAAATTATGACACCAGAAAGATTAATTTCCTGTGTTCCGTCTGTCCTAGCTAAGTTTCTATTGCTGTGATAAAACACCCTGATCCCCCTTGGGGAGGAAAGGAGTTATTTGGCTCACAGGATACAGTCCATCCCTAAAGGAAGTCAGGGCAGGAGCCTGGAGGCAGGAGCTAATGCAGAGGCCAGGGAAGAGTGCTGCTTACTGGCTTGCTCCCTATGGCTTGCTCAGCCTACTTCCTTATTCAACCCAGGACCACCTGTCCAGCCAGCATCACTAGTGAGCCAGGCCTTCTCACATTCAGGAAAATGCCCTAAAGACTTGTTTACAGGCTACTCTGGTGAAGGTGTTAGGTTAGGTTGAAAAAAAACAGCAACAAAAGCTAAGTAGGATACTTTCTGATAAGAAGGAAAATGATAAAGTGAGATGAGTGTTAAACTTTAAAAATAAATACTTGTCATACGGTTTTTTGCTGTGAAGAGACACCATGACCACTGTAATGCATATGAAAGAAAATATTAAATTGGAACTGACTTAAAGTTCAGAGGTTTAGTCCACTATCATCATGGTGGGAAGCACGGAAGTGTGCAGGTAGGTATGGTGCTAGACAGGTAGCTGGGAGTTCTATATCTGGATCAAACAGGCAGCAGGAAAAGAGAGTAGCCAGTAGCCTTGGCAATAGTCTGTGTTTTTTGGAGGTTTCCATGGGTCCCTTTGGCCAATGATTTTACCAGATAGGACCCATTCCTGGCACTGGAGGTTATACATGGTGGCATGTCTTGTGGGGCATTCTTTCCCCTATTATTTGGTCATTCCATTCAGGTTCCTTCCTTACATGTATATATTTTAGGAAGTCTCTACAGTAGGAGATTTCCATAGTTCCAGGTTTCTTGATTCTGAATTGTAATGGTGGAAAGGGGTGTGATTACAGCCTGTATGTGGATTCCAGAGCATACTTTGTATATCTTATAATCATCCAAGTGTATTTACTGGCTAGCATAACCTGGATGCCTTTCTATAATATTCTAACATCTAGTCATGATTAGCAGGATCTAGTTTTTAAAAAGAATATTAGACGTGTCATATTGGTAACAGTGCAAGATTAATTGAAGCAAATTTCTCCATACTCTTTAAAGCAGGAGGCTCTCTACCTATGTGCAGATAATTGGGTGATTTTAGGAGCAAAATGTTTATTTATTCTTCTCAATCTGTAGTCCTTTCCAGGTTTGTCTTAATAATGCCTTAGAGTCTTAGTCAGATGTGCTGGCTCGTGCCTACAATCCTAACACCCAGAAGGCTGAGGCAGAAGGATTATCATGGCCACATAGTAAGTTCCAGGCCAGCCTAGGCCACAGTAGGAGACCTTGTCTCAAAAATAATAAATAATCTCTGGGGTCCCATTGACACAATTAAATTTGAAATCTTGCATTCATTCCTTTTTGCCTGGAAAAAAAAAAGAGAAAGCTTAATTAAATTGTTGCGTCTTTGGAGGTGGGCACTAGAGGAATTAGGAGTAAGTGATTGTATCATGAGAAACTAGCCTACATAATTATCTGAGTACTGCTTTTCACATTAAGTCATACTTGTTTTCTGATTCTGTTTTTTCAGTTTCCATAGCAAGGCGTGTTCAAGATCCATTAGCTGAGCTAGTGAAAATTGAGCCGAAGCACATCGGAGTTGGAATGTACCAGGTAAAGCAATGTGGATCGTTTAGTTTTTGAAACCCGTCAATACAAAGAACATGCTTAAATCTGGCATTGTACTTAGATATTACTGGAAATAGATTTTCATCATTAAAGATTATACAGTTGATAGGAAGAGAGTTTCAAGCTGCCAGGAAAAGAAAAAAATTCTTTCTTGTTTTTCCTTGTCTTGATTATTTTGATTAGACTTTAAATTGACTATAGTCAGATTTAAAGACTTTGAAAACATTAGTCCAGGTGTGCTGGTGCAAAAATATTAAGTTCAACTAAGTACATGATTTGGAGAGCTGGTCTCTTCAACTCTTTTATTAAAATGGAAGGAGTGTGGACCATTGGTCTGTGTGGCTCTTTGTTTAAATCAGAATGAACTTCCAATTGTTACTGGTCTCTCTGGAGCCTCTGGTATTTACTGTGACCTTTCTGTATTCATTTCTATTTGGTCATTATTAATTTTGGTTTTTACCCAGAATAGTCTAAAGTCTTCTATATGGAGTCCAGAAGGCTCATGTCAAAAGTATTCTCCCCTTTGTTGAAGTTCTTTCCTAAACTGTCCATGTGATATGCACTTGAACTCCTAACTACTGGAGGCTAAGACAGGACAAGTCCTTGATTTTCTAAGTTTGAGCCCAGCCTGGCCAATGTGCAAGACTTTGCCTCTTCCCACCCCTAAGTAGTCCTTTTTGTTGCTGTTTGGTTTTCGATAAAGGGTCTTACTGTAGCCTAGGCTGCTTGGAGCTCATTTTGTACCCCAGGATGAACTCAAAGTCATGGCAATCCTCCTGCCTCAGTTTCTTAGTGCTGAAAATATAGACAATGTTCCTGGCAAGAAAGTGCTTTTTAGATCTGAAGTACAGTATTTTTCTAACTTCCATAGGATTTGAGTGGTGTTGCATTATACTTTTTCTCTAAAGAAGTATTATATTAAGTCATGGCCTCTGTGGTTACCGAAGTAGAAGAAACTCTAGAAATCATTCGGCTCCACCACATCATTTGACAATAAAACAAAACCAAAATGCTGTGGCCTGGAATCACACAGTGGCAAGGCTTGGATTGACATGTCACATGTGTTGAGAGTCAGCTGAGAGTGCTAGCATTTTATGCTAGCTGGTGGTAGAGCCAGCTGTAGTCTGTGATGCTTAGTGTTGATTGGGCTGAGTAAGGTCTGTGAGACATCTTGAGCCAAATAAATCTTTCTTCCCTTAAACAGTTTTGCTCAGGTATTTTGTCACAGTGATAAAAGTCTGACTGAATATGAAAGATACAAACAGTAGCCTCATACAGAAAAAGCCTGGTGGAGCCACAGCCCAGAACACGTAAAAGTCATTATTAACACAGAAGCATGAAGCCAGGTGATGTGTTAGGGAAATCATTTGCCATTCATTCATATGTGTTGTATGGTAATTATGTATTTACTATTAAGAGTTTAAGGTTTTTTTTCCTTCTTGATTTATATATGTTTATATGTTGGTTTATTTGAAACATTTACATAGAATATATCAAGAGCCTGTGCATAGCACGTCACCATTAAAAATTCAGACTTTTGAGCCTCAGAAACTCCTAAGTACCTGCTATCCCCGGTACTGGGATGACTGAACAAGAAGAGTCCATGCTTCCCTAGGTACCATAGCAAGCAAGACCTCAAAAATGAACAACAAAAATCACTTTTTTGAGGAGGGTTTATTAATATGAGAAATTATTCTTGAAATGATGAAATGATGTTTTTAAGTTACACAAAGTTGTTAATACAGAAGCAAGCTGAGTTTCAAAATGCAACTGTGAATTTCTGTTAAAGAGAGAAGACAGCACCTGACAGGTTAAACATGATGAGAGATTTTTATATGCTTTGATTTTGGAGTTTTCTATAATGAATATGTTCTGAAATTTTATTGTAAAATACATACTTATTTCCATATCCCAGGCAATGGACCACTTAATATTAAGGCCTCATACAGTGTATTTTCAATACGACCATAGTGAGACTGACTTTTCAGTTTGTGATTTTGATATAAATTTCATACTGACGTAAAACACTAGAATAGCCAGGTAAACTAAGAAAGAAAGTTAAATGAAATAGTAGAAACTACAGTGTAATTTCAATGGAAACTAAAATGCTTTTGGTTTAATAGCAGCTAAAATCTTTCGGCAGCACTCCAATTCTTGTCTGAGAAAATGAGGAGAGCTGATTTTAAAAACACATGCCTGTCGTTATTTCTGGAGAGCAAGGCAGCCAGTGTGGTCGAATGACAACATATCCCTGATCGACCCCTAAAGACTTTGCTGGAAAGTGGCTTGGTGTTACTCCCAAGAAAACACTCCTGGGTGAGAGCAGGATGACGCAGAGCTGCCTGGGTTGGGCTCTGTGGGATGTAGGAATGACAGCTTAACTTGGCCTTGTCGTACCCCGAGTTTAAGTTTAAATAAGTTGGATTTACTGGTTCTTTATTTCTTCTTGGGACTATGTTCTTGTACTTTCCTATTCATTAGCACCTGCATTTGGTAAAGAGGCTGTTCAGTCAAGTATCAAGGACTCAAAATAACCCCTTTTCCTCTTTTTGTACCTCTCTGTTAGATCATTTGGTAATGATATAGCATGAAATGGTAGTATAACTGTTTTTGGAACCCTTAGTGGACTGTATACCTAGACCGTCTTTACTCCTCACTGGGAATGACAGGAGTCACTATAAAGGTGAAGTTGCCTTGCCAGATGCATGACTTTTGGGTAGAACCTTAGGTAGCAATTTGCATCTTCTCTTTTCCTCTGTGAGATAAATCCTGTATAATAGCAAACAAGTAAATCAAGACAAAATAAAGGCAGCTCTTCATGGTGAAAAGTGTTGGGTCAGTAGAACACTTCCAGTTAACCTGCAGGGGTTACCAGGTGTATTTAGGTGTATAAAAGTAAGGTTTCTTGATTTTTTTTGGTGTTATTTGTTCAGATCTTTGAAAACACATTTGAACTGCTGAGTAATGTGTCATGGTAGTGAGATTCTTCTGAGTATACCCATACTTATCTTTGCTATCATCATCACCTGTGCATTCACTAAGGCAAAGGGGAAACAGAAAATGTTCAAACTGAGGCATTAGCCACTGTGCTGACTGGTTTTTGTCAACTTGGCACAAATCTGGAGTTCTCTGGCAAGAGGAACTTCTACTGAGAAAACGCCTCCATCAGAGTGGACTGTAGACAGATTTTCTTGGTGTAGGAAGACCCAGCTTACAGAGGCAGGACTGACACTGGGCAGGTGGTTCTTGGTTGTATAAGAAAGCAAATTCAGTAAGCTGTGAGGAGCAAGCCAGTAAGCATCATTACTCCATGCCTCTGTTTCAGTTCCTGCCTCTGAGTTCCTGCAATGGGTGACTCTAATCATGGACTGTAACTGTTTTTTTTTTTTTAACTTTTATTAATTACACTTTAATCACTTTATATCCCCCATAAACCCTTCCCTCCTCCCCTCCTAATCCTACCTTCCCTCCCCCTTCTTCAAGTCCACATGCCCCTCCCCAAGGCCACTGATAGGGGAGGTCCCCCTCTCCTTCCTTGGACTGTAACTTCTAAGCCAAATAAACATTCTCATTCCCAAGTTGCTTTTGGTCATGGTCTTTATCATAGTAGTAGAAACCTAACTAAGTAGGTAAATTACCTCCTGCCTCAATGACTTTGCATTTTCATCCCTTAAGTAAGCAGGACCCAGGCTGTATTGAATCTCTGTATACAAAGTTCAAAAGGGTATTTAAAGAGCCTGATATCAGAGGTTTCGTCACTTACAACTTAACTGCATGTGAACAAGTAGCTTGACCTTGATAAACAGTGTGAACCAAACTTACATATTAGAATTTGTTAATCTTTACTCAGATTTTCAGTTTTAAAATTATCTCTTGCATAGTTTTCTTATACGTGGTTAAATTAATCTTCCTACACTGAAATATTGGCTTCATTTTTTTTCAGACAGTGCATACAAGTGCCCTGTTGTAAATTATTAATATTATTTGAAGAATGTCTTACAAGTAATGCTTTGAGTAAATAGTGACATGTCTAATTTTCTTTATCTGTTATTTGCTTGCCCTTTACATGTCATAAACTTTGGTACTGAAACCACACTTAATGTCATTTTCTGCTTAACTTCTTCCAGTTTTTATATATTAGCACAAATCTATTATGAGTTATAAAACTTTAAGATATTTTCAGTGTTTTAACACTACTTAACATGAGCATTGAAAAACTCGCACATTACATTAAAAAGTGACAATAAAGGGAAGATAAAATTACACCTGAATCTAAAATGTTTCTGGGTCAGAAAACAATTAGGCCACATACAAGGAGAACATTGGTGATCATGAACATTTCTTGTAGGTGTGTAGAGTGGTGCAATCTCTTAGAGAGCAATTAGAAATCAGTGAAGTTGGAAGTGGAGATTTGAACTCAGCAGTTCTGTTGCTAGAAGTGCAGAGCCTAGAAAAAAATCACCTCATGTTGCTGCAGGGAGTCAGTTACAAGACGTTCCTTAACAGTGTTTATGGTAGTGAAAATGTGCAGAGGTGTTCTTTGTCTGAAATGGAAAGAATAATTAGTGTAATATACTTACACTATTCAATATTTTATATAGTGAAATTACCCAGGAAGAGCTACTGGGTATTATGAAAGATAATACTGAGAGAGCGAGAGAGAGAGAGACAGTGAGACAGTGAGACAGTGAGACAGAGAGAGGTGTCGTTTGTACAGGAGCACACAGCTGACACAAAGCTAAGATATAAGGCCCTCTGGCTATATACGCATGAAGATGTCGAAACAGTAAAGATACAGGGACAAGCAAGAGCGTGAGACAACAGCTGTTTTGAATGGAGCACAGGAAGCAGCAGGATCTGGATGGCACTGTACAGTGTCTTCCTCAGTGTTGTACACCAGAGCAATTGTTAAGTATTTTACACTTTAAAATATGCACAAAAGTTGGGTCACATGCTCAGCATGCCCTAATGTGGGAACTTTAACT